CTGTTGAGAAAAATATTTCCCCCTCCTGATTCAGCCATTTGTCCCGGATGCGATAAGGTCTCCCGTCTTGGGCAAGGGGTTGGACTAGAAGATCTCCAAGATCCCTAATGGAATAACAGAGCTGAAAGGGACCGTGGAGGTCATCTAGTCCAGCCCCCTGCTCAGGCAGGAAATTTAGTTCTATTTCAGACAAATGGCTGTCCAGTCCCTTCTTAAAAACTTCCAGTGTTGGAGCCTTCACCGCTTCTGGAGGCAGGTGGTTCCACTGGTTAATTGTTCTCACTGTCAGGAAGTTTCTCCTTAGTTCTAGGTTGCTTCTCTCCTTGATGAGTTTCCACCCGTTGCTTCTCGTCCTGCCTTCTGGTGCTTTGGAGAATAGCTTGACTCCCTCTTCTTTGGGGCAGCCCCTGAGATACTGGAGCACTGCTCTCATGTCCCCCCTCGTCCTTCTCTTCATTAAACTAGACAGACCCAATTCCTGCAACTGTTCCTTATATGTTTTGGCCTCCAGTCCCCTGATCATCTTTGTTGCTCTTCTCTGCACTCTTTCTAGAGTCTCCGCATCTTTTTTACATCGTGGTGACCAAAACTGGATGCAGTATTCCAAGTGTGGCCTTACCAAGGCCTTGTAAAGTGGTATTAACACTTCATGTGATCTTGGTTCTATCCCTCTGTTAATGCAGCCCAGCACTGTGTTGGCCTTTTTGGCAGCTGCAGCACACGGCTGCCTCCTATTTAGGTGATTGTCCACTAGGACTCCGAGATCCCTCTCACAGTTACTACTATATTACTACTACTAATAGCCCTAGGGTTCTGTGATTCTGTGTTACGCATATGCATTCAAGATTAGCATTGGGTAATCTCTTGTCGGCTTATAACAACAGCTGAGCCCAAAAATTTCCATTGCTAAGCAAGGCAGTTCCTGAGTGAGTTTTGCTCCATTTTACGACCTTTCTTACTGTAGTTGTTAAGTGTATCACTGCAGTTAAGTGAGTAACACGGTTGTTAAGTTAATCGGGCTCCCCCCTTGACTTTGCTTGTCAGAGGTTCGCACTAGTGCAGGGGTAGGCAACCTTGGCTCTTTTATGACTTGTGGGCTTCAATTCCTAGAATTCCTGAGCCAGCCAAGGTTGCCTACCCCTGCACTAGGGGATCACATGACCCCGGGACGCTACGACCGTCATAAATACGAGTCATTTGCCAAGCATCTGAATTTTGATCACGTGACCACGGGGACGCTGCAACGCTCGTAAGTGTGAAAAACGGCCATAAGTCACTTTTTTGGTGCCGTTGTAACTTGGAACGGTCACTAAATGAACTCTTGTAACTCGGGGACTGCCCGCACAAAGAGGGAATGCAGCAACGCAACGAATCTCGGAGGCTGCTTAGCAGAATTCCCAGCAAAGGGTTCTGCGTGTCGAAAACAAAATTTGCGAAGGGCGGTGTGACTTTCTGCAGGGTGTGGTGTGTGTGTGTTATCCAGGGTCAAGCTAATAGTGTGTTGGCAGAGCAGACAATGGCCGGTGATCCACAGGTAGCAAAAAACTAGAGCGAGTAGATCCTTTATTAAACACCGGAGAACTTTTAAGACGCGCAGTGGCGGACGAAAAGAAATTTAATTCATCTTTGATTAGAAGGGATATTGAAAAGGGGAAATTAGCCGGCTATCAGAGGAGGCTTTTTAGCTCTTACTTATCTTGAACTGAGAGTGGAGTATCTCGGGAGCAACTTTGGAGTAAGTTGACTGTGGGAACTGCAGCAAAAGAATCGGGAGGAATCCAGGAGCGTCATAGTCCTTGACTTAGCAAGTGTTTGTTTAATGACCGTTCCAAGTTACAACAGCACTGGGAAAAAAGGGACTTACGACCGTTTTTTCACACTTACGACCGTTGCAGCGTCCACGTCATCAAAATTCAGACACTTGGCAACCGACTCGTATTTATGACGGTTTGCAGCGTCCCGGGGGTGTCACGTGATCCCCTTTTGCGACCTTCTGACAAGCAAAGTCAATGGGGGAGCCGGATTCATTTAACGACCGTGGCAAAAAAAAGTCGTAAAATGGGGCAAAACTCACTTAGCAACAGCTTTGCTTAGCGACGGAAATTTGGGGGCTCGATCCTGGTTGTAAGACGAGGACTCCCTGTATTGCAAGGCATCATCTCCCAGTATGGTGCGGTGTGGTGTGACGGGGGGGGGGAGAGGAATTGCCCCCCCCGTTGCCCGGCCGCTGCGTTCCAGCCTCCCCGTCTGTGTCCCCCTCCAGGCCTCTACGGGAAGGATGGGATCCTGCCCGCCCGGAAGATGCTTCGTTTCACTGGCAAAGGATTCTGGGAGCAGCTGCGGGACTCCCCGACTCTGCTGTGGCTGGGCCCCCACCTGGGGCTGGACACGGAGCAGGGCCTGGAGCTGCTGTGCCTGATGGGCTCGCTGCTCTCCTTCGGGGCCCTGGTGCTGGAGCCCCTGCGGGACAGCGTGGTCTTCCTCGCCCTCTGGGGCCTTTACCTCTCCGTCTACCAGGTACGGGGTGGGGGCTGGATAAGGACCCTCCCCCGCCCCCTCCAGGCGTGCCGCCTGGGGGATTCTGGGAACTGAAGTCCACAGGTCTTAAGGTGCTAATTGGGGAACTCTGGGAGATGAAATGGACAGTTTTTAAGGTGCTGGCCTGGGAATTCTGGGAGTTGAAGTCCTTCCTAAAGTGCTGGCTAGAGAATTCTAGGAAGTAAAGTCCTTTTTAAGGAGCTGGCTAGGGAATTCTGGAAGTTGACGTCCACACTTTCTAAAATGCTAACAAGGAATTCTGGGAGTTGAAGTCCTCACTTCTTATGGTGCTGGCTAGGGAATTCTGGGAGTTGACGTCCACGCTTTCTAAAGTGCTAAGAAGGAATTCTGGGAGTTGAAGTCCACAAGTCTTAAAGTTGCCAAGTTTGAGGACCCCTGGTTTAAGCTCAGACAGAAGACACCTGACGGGCCACGTCCTGCCCTTAAATTGACTTTTCTTCCCTTCTTTTCCCTCTGCAGGTGGGACAGGTGTTCCTCTACTTCCAGTGGTAAGTGGTCCTGGGCTTCCACAGGTAACGCTCAACTTAGGAATTGACCCCCAAATTTCTGTTGCTACGCGGGACATTTGTTAAGTTTTGCCCCGCTAGTCTAGTCTAGTCTAGTCTATTATTCTATTCTATTCTATTCTGTTCTATCCAATTCTGTTCTATTCCCTATTTTCTATTCTATTCTATTCTATATTTCTATTCTATTCTGTATTTCTGTTCTATTGTATTCTTCTATATTCCCTATTCTTTGCCATTCTGTGTTTCTGCGGGAAAGAATGTACAGGTAGTCCTCAACTTACAACAGTTCGTTTAGTGACCGTTCCAAGTTACGACTGAAAAAAGGGACTTATGACTGTTTTTCATGCTTACGACTGTTGAAGCATCCCCCCCCCCGGTCACATGATCAAAATTCCAACACTCGGCAACCGACTCATACATACAACGGTCGCCATGTCCCGGGGGGTCATGTGATCGACTTTTGCAACCTTCTGACGAGCAAAGTCAATGGGGAAAGCCAGATTCACATAATGGCCACGTGACTAACTTAACAACTGAACAAAATGGCGAGAATGGTCGTAAAATGAGGCAAAACTCAATAACCGTCTCATTCAGTAACAGAAATTTTGGGCTCAACTGTAGTCGTATGGCAAAGATCACAGCAAGCGCCATGTAACCCGCGTGAGCGCTGGCAAGGGAAGGGCGGAATCCCAGGGCACTCTGCCCATGCTCCTTTGACCTGCGTCCCCCTCCCCAGGGACAGCCTTCTGCTGGAGACGGGCTTCCTGGCGGTGCTCGTGGCCCCCCTGCACCTGCTCAAATGGCGCTCGACAGCCTGGAGGGCGCACGACGGGGTGACCTTCTGGCTGGTGCGCTGGCTGCTCTTCCGGTTGATGTTCGCCTCCGGGGTGGTGAAGCTGACCAGCCGCTGCCCCACCTGGTGGGGGCTCACAGGTGAGTCAGCCATGCAACAAGTGGGAGGGGGCTCGGAGTCCTAGTGGACAATCCCTTAAATGTGAGCCAGCCGTGTGCTGCAGCTGCCAAAAAAGCCAACACAGTGCTAGGCTGCATTTACAGAGGGATAGAATCAAGATCACGTGAAGGGTTAATACCACTTTACAAGGCCTTGGTAAGGCCACACTTGGAATACCACAGTTTTGGATACCACGATGTAAAAAAGATGTTGAGACTCTAGAAAGAGGGCAGAGAAGAGCAACAAAGATGATCAGGGGACTGGGGGCTAAAACATAAGGAACGGTTGCTGGAATTGGGTCTGTCCAGTTTAACGAAGAGAAGGACGAGGGGGGACAGGATAGCAGCCTTCCAGTATTTCAGGGGCTGCCCCAAAGAAGAGGGAGTCAAGCTATTCTCCAAGGCGCCTGAAGGCAGGATGAGAAGCAACGGGTGGAAACTGATCAAGGAGAGAAACAACCTGGAGCTAAGAAGGAATTTCCTGACAGTTAGAACAACCAGTGGAATAGCTTGCCACCAGAAGTTGTAGGTGCTCCAACACTGCAGGTTTTAGGGGCATGGTGGCTCACATGGTTAGGATGCTGGCTTGACAAACAGCAGGCCCACATTCGAATGCTGCCGTGGGCCAGGTGGGCTCCCATCCTTTCCTCCAGCCCCCAATTGGGCATCCCTCTGGCAGCCGTGATGTCACCAGGTGAGCCTTTTAACTCATGAGTGTGATGCCACCCTCCATTCTCTCTCTCTCTCTCCCTCTCTCTCTCTCTTTCTCACGTTTTTTCTCTCATGTTCTTTCTCCCTCTTCCTCTTTCTTGCTTTCTCTCTCTCTTCTTTTTCTCTCTTTCTCTTTCTTTCCCTTTCTTTCTCTGTCTCATTCTCACTTTTTCTGTCTCTTTTTTCTCTCGCTTTCTCTCCTTTCGTTCTTTCTTTTTCTCTCTCTTTTGCTTTCTTTTACTTTCTTGCTTTCCTTCTCTTTTTCTTTCTCTCACTTTCTCTGTCTTTTTCTCTTCTCACTTTGTCTCTCTTACTTTCTTGCTTTCTCTGTCTCTTTTTTCTCCTTTCTCTCTTTTTTTTCTCCTTTCTTTTTTTTCTCCTTTCTCTCTCTCTCTCTCTCTCTTCTTTTTCCCCCCAGCGTTGACCTACCACTACGAGACCCAGTGCATCCCCACCCCGGCCGCCTGGTTCGCCCACCAGTTGCCGTTCTGGTTGCAGAAGCTGAGCGTGGTGGCCACCTACGTGATCGAGATAGCCGTCCCACCCCTCTTCTTCGTGCCGCTGAGGCGCCTACGCCTGGTGGCCTTCTACACCCAGGTACGGCCGGGCGCTGGGAATGCTAGGCTGGCCAGCACCAGGGTGAAAACGGGTGCCCCTCCGGGGGGTGCAGGAACACCCACCGGGGTCTGAAAGCCCCCAAGGGAACGGGCGGTGGGCTTTGCAGTTGCTGCTAATTGGACCCTCTTTGCACTACAGGCAGTCCCCGACACACAACCACAACGTACAGTTGTGTGTTGTGACAGCCGTAAATTTTCCCCCGCCTGTTTTGCGGTGGGTTGTTAAGTGAGTGTGGCAGTTGTAAAGCGAACGTTGCCGTTGTTTGGGGTCTTGTGGACTGCAGGACAACGTAGCCGTCAACAACTGCGGTGTAGTTGTGTTGCCAAGTGGCTGAAACATAGTCATGCGACCATGGGGGCGGGGGACTCCCCCCATACCTCAGGACTTCGGAAGTGGATCGTAACTCCCATGTCCTAGGTGGGTTGTCAGGTTGAGCAGTGGCTGAGGGGCTGGCCGTAAGTTGAGGACTACCTGTGGAGTGAGCCAGCTGTGCAGGGAGGAAAAGGGACACACTCTTTTGTGTGTCATAACAACTGTTCAGCACAATGACTCGGCATCGCCTGTTTGCCAGCTTCTGGCAGAATGCAGGTCATCCTCGACTTACGACAGCTCCATTTAGTGACCAAAGTTACAACAGGCCTGGAAAAAGTGACTTACGGTCGTGCTTCACACTTACGACCGTTGCGGCCTTCCCCCGTGATCAGGATTCAAGCACCTGGCCGCTGGCTCCTATTTATGACGGTTTGCAGCGTCCCGGGGGCGGAGTCACGGGATCCCCCTTTTGCGACCTTTCTGACAGGAATGGGGGAAGCTGTATTCGCTTAGTGACCGGGTTACTTATCAACCACAGCGATTCACTTAATGACTGTGGCGAGAAAGGTCATAAAACGGTGCAACATTCGTTTGCCAGCGGTCTCGCTTAGCAGCAGAAACGTCGGGCTCCTCCGTTGCGGTCGTAAATGGAGGACTGCCTGCATTTGGCCCTCTTCCAGGTCCTTCTGCAAGCCCTGATCGTCTTCACCGGCAACTACAATTTCTTCAACCTGCTGACGGTGGTGCTGAGCTTCTCCCTGCTGGACGAGGAGCACGTGGGGCTGTGGCTGGGCCAGGGGCGGAGGAAAGCCAGTGGCGGTGAGTCCCCCAGGCCACCGGGAGTTTCCTTTGGACCATTGGGCTCCGCCCTCCACTTCTCTCTCTGCCTTGGTCCTCCCCCTTTTTGCTGATTTGTTTAATTCAGTTTACGTGCCGCCCATCTCTCTCTGGGAAGGGGCTGATGGGTGCTGCAGTCCGGCCGCATCTCGTGGGAGGTGCATGATGGGTTTGATGAGCTTTGCATGATGGGCTTGCTGGGCATTGCATGATGGGGTTGAGGGGCTTTGCATGATGGGATTGCTGGGCATTGCATGATGGGGTTGATGGGCATTGCATGATGGGGTTGAGGGGCTTTGCATGATGGGGTTGATGGGCTTTGCATGATGGGATTGCTGGGCATTGCATGATGGGTTTGATGGGCATTGCATGATGGGTTTGAGGGGCATTGCATGATGGGTTTGAGGGGCTTTGCATGATGGGATTGCTGGGCATTGCATGATGGGATTGCTGGGCATTGCATGATGGGTTTGATGGGCATTGCATGATGGGTTTGAGGGGCTTTACATGATGGGCTTGCTGGGCATTGCATGATGGGCTTGCTGGGCATTGCATGATGGGCTTGCTGGGCATTGCATGATGGGCTTGCTGGGCATTGCATGATGGGGTTGAGGGGCTTTACNCATGATGGGCTTGCTGGGCATTGCATGATGGGCTTGCTGGGCATTGCATGATGGGCTTGCTGGGCATTGCATGATGGGGTTGAGGGGCTTTGCATGATGGGATTGCTGGGCATTGCATGATGGGGTTGAGGGGCTTTGCATGAAAGGGCGGATGGGAGCTGTAGTCCAGCCTCATCTCCTGGAAGCTGCATGATGGGATGGATGGATGGATAGCTGCTTTCCAGCCCGCTCTGCAGGGCTCTTGGTTCCCCAGCCCCATAGTCCACTTCCTCAGTGCCCTCCATTGGCTGCTGCCTCTGGGGGGCCCCATAAGCCTCTCCCGTGGCTGGAGCTGACCCTTCCTCCCCTGCAGGCTGGCCCTGGCGCCTGGCCACCTTGCTGGTCGAGCTGGCTGTCTACGGCCTCCTGATCTACTGGACCAGCCGTTACTTTGGGCTGACCATCAACTGGGAGAAGAGACTTCTCGAATCCAAGACAGGTATTTCTTGGGGGGGGGGAACGTCTGTGGGACTGCCTGCGGTGTTGGGGACCCCTGGCAGTCCCTGAGCTGCGGTGGGGTGGCCTCTTTCCCCATTTCAGCCCGTGAGGGGCCCAGCCTTGACCCAGCTGCCCCATTCTCACATTCTCAGACTTAGCCGAGGATTCCCCCCCCCCCCCCCCCCCCCCCCCCCCCCCCGCTGTGTGTGTGTGCAACTCGGCTCCCTTTGTAACCCCTCCTAGCCAAGGGGGGGGCATTGCCCTCTGAAATGTAAAACTTGGGAGAGGGTCTCGGGTGCCTTGAAGCTGCCCTCCCCCCACCAGTGTTTTAGAGCTGGGAGCACAATTCCTGGGGTGGGGGGCTGTTTGATTAGGGGACCTGGGACCCTCCCCCATTGACAGAAGTTGTCGTCGTTGCACTTGCGAACCTGCACATGGTGCCCTCCACCTGGTCTCTCCCCAGCCTTCACCTACCACGAGTTCACGCAGTGGCTGAAGCGGGTGACCCTCCCCCTGGTGGCCCTGGGGCTGCTCTCCTTGCTCTGGGAGGTCCTTCAGGCCGGGTACAGGTGAGTCCCCGGGGGTCTCTGCAGAGGGAGATCCGAGCTGACCTTGGGCAGGAATGGGGGGGGG